TGGCAAATATCATTGCCATTGTTTTCCCTTTGAATGGGAGATATGTCCTGTCTCCTGATTGTATCTGTGCTTTGACCTCCTTGGCTCGATCCAAGATACTTAGAATAGTGTCCTTGTCAAAATCATCAATGTGCAAAAAATCCTTGGGACCTGCCTTTGCTGAAATATGAATACATAAAAGTTACAACTTGAAATGAAAATCACAGTAACTTGAATCCTTGATTTCAATTAAAATACTCTGCAAGAGAACATGGATATTCTGTTAAACAGTAAGGTAAAGTTGCCTCTTTCTTTGTTATGCAGGAGAAGAACTTTAGTTGAGAAGTTCTAAACTAAGACGTGTAAAAAGCCATGGCATAAGTTACAGTTCAAATATTCCTTGACAATAGATAGACATTTGGGTGAATAAACACTTAAGCTTTCTAAGCAAGAGCTTGAAGCCTTATACTTCAGTTCATAATTGTCATTACAACATTAAAAATGTCATTAATCCAAAATTTCAAATTATATTATACCTCTAAAAAATATCTCTCTTTTTTTATTTTTGAAACCATACGAGTAGAAAAATATATGGCTAAAATCCTTGGAAGTTCCAGTTAATCAACAAAGAAGATAACATATACACATCTTTAACAAAACAAATAAACGTATAAAAGCATTCAACATAACTTAGTCTCGAAACATAGGCCTTCCTATAAAATTTTCAGTCTCGTGAACCCCGAACCCTAATTTCACGCGCATTTAATTTTCTACTGGTACAGTACTTTCCAACAAGAAACCAAATAAATCCCAGCCTAATAAATTTAACAAATATTGCAGAAAATAAACAAAAATCAAAACGAGAAAAGTGTAATTCGAACTGCTAAAAGCGAGAAAAGAATACGAAAGGATCACTGACCTTTTCCATTGACAGAGGATGAAGGAGCAGAAGAGACTGTCTGGCATGAGATTCGTCGACGGATTGCTGGAGAGGAGACAGCGACGCTGGGAAATCGTCGAAGCGTATGGGCGGAGCGAGAGAGTGACGAGGTTGAAGAGAGAGAAACTGAGTCCGGCGAGGACACGGAGGAGAGGTGACATGAAATAGCCGCCATCGGATTTTGACGTTGGTGCAGTGAGAACGAAGTGGGTAGGTTGTTTCTTTTACAGTTTTAGGGCAAATATTTTCAAGCAGCGGCGTCACTTCATTGTCCAGTATTTTAAAAAAAAGATTTATAATGCTTATTTGGGAGCGATATTTGGGGAAAAAATTAATTTTGAACAGTGATATGATGGGAAATGTGTAGTAGAAAAAGAAAAAAAATTATTGATGTGATGAAAAATATCATTTTATTGAAAAATGTGTGGTTGAAAATGAGAATTGATTTGCTGTAAAATTTTGACAATCTCTACCAAACAGAGCCATGAGATGTGAGTACATGAAATATTTTACAGAAATTCAACATTTTTTTTTAATTTTCAATCACATGGGGCCCGCACCATGTATAAAATATTGAAAAAAAATATATCTTCCCTTCCTTGAATGTGAGTGCTTGGTAAGTACAGAAATTTTGAATTTCTAATTTTCTATACTTACAACTCCACTCTAAAAAAAATTGGGATCGTGTTACATGTATACCGGAGTTGACAACCTAGTATACAAGCTCCCTCACAAGCCCCCCGCCCCTTCCTCGTGACGGGATTGTACACAAAGTGTAAACCTTGGCGTACAAATAGTATTTCCCAAAAAATTGATATTGACACCCATCTCCTCGAACAATTTGTATAGTACTACTTTGCCCCTAGACCTCTGTTTATTCCTTCGACTAGGTGTGTCAAAATGGGTGTACATGCTCGCGCCTATATCAGAGGCCTGACTCTGGTTCGTTCCATACCTAAATTGACGTGTCAAAAAATATGAATCGAGTCTTAAGTTGCTTCACGAATATAAGAATTGTATAGATTTACTAACTCAGCAATAGTGTGGCACAACCTTCAAGCCCTTTTTTCATTAATAATCGTACAGCTAAAAAAATCAATATAAGTCAAGGTGTACGATTAAGCTTGTCATTACCTATTCACCATATTGTCGATCAATATGTGAACTGGCCTAAATTCAGTTAGTGTAATTGCTAACTAAAACAAAGATGAGTTGTCTTATTATTTTGATTAATTTTTAAATTAAGGAAAGGGTAATTATATTTACACTACATTTTTTTTATTTGTTACACCACATTTTAATTTCATTTAATATCTTCAATCTTTGCCTATTGTAATCCTTATGTCTTTGATGTATTATTATCTTCAACATTTTATTAATTAGCACAAACTAGTCCATTCAGAAAAGTAAAATAACTTATTTTTCATCACATTTTTAAAAAATAATAAATACAAAAGTGTAACAAAATAATTCTTCTCATTAAGCATGAAAAAAATAACTGAAACCGTCATCAAATATACAATTTACTAATTAATAGAATGTTGAAGATGAAAATTCGATGAAAAAGAAGTATGGACAAAATCTTTACAATGAACAAAGAAAGATGACTTTAAATGAAATTAAAATGTGGTGTTATTAATAAAAATTGTCGTGTGAATATAATTAGCCTGAGAATTAGCGGTATGAATTAGAATTAGGAGTGAAGTGAATGTTTTGGGCTTGATCAATGCTAAGCCCCATAAACAGCCTACAGACCATTTCGGAAGGTTCTCCTAAATGGCCTAATAAAATGAAAAAGTGGAAAGCGGTTAATTAAGGGGATTTCATTTAATTAGTCTAGTCAAACTAAGTATTAGTTTAAAAAGGCCAACAAGTTTTTTTTTTTTTTAGTTAGAAGGCCTAAATATACTTAAAATGGAAAATAGAATTTCTAAATGACTGAAATATCCTTATATACATAAATACGTGATTACTCTAAATTCTCTTTCAATTTCCATTTAGCCCTAGTTCAATTTTGACTTCCATTTCTTCTTCATCACGTGAGTTCGGATTTACAAGTATGTCACTCCTCTTTA